AAAAATTGATGCTGCCTGATGCGTGACAGGTGTTGAAGTCCCGTCGTTTGCACGTGCTATTCCTGCCGAAGTCCCTTCGTGCTGCAGCGTTCGCCTCCACCACTCCAGCGCAGGTCCTCGCAACAGTGAAACTGCGAAATTAATTTAGCATGATTTATGACGGGTGGCATCGTCATAAATCATGGCAGCATTGAAAAACACCTCCACGCCGAACAACCATGCAGAAACAGTGACGAACTTGTCACTTGGGTTAAACGGGGGCGGGTTTGTCGGCTTGATTTTAACAAAAGCCGTTGTTGCCATCGGGGCCGTTGGCATTGCTGCCGGCGTCGCCGTCGTCGTCGCCGCTGCACGTGTCGGTGCTGCACTCGACTGTTGCGGTGACTGTTGCTGCTGCGCCTGCCTCGCCTCGTCCGCATCCATCTCGCCTTCCAGCTCGCTCTAGACCCGCTCATCTGGTGCAGTGCTGCTACTTGCGTCGTCCACGACAGGCGACTCCTGGCGCGCTTCACCACGCGCCTGGTGTAGTTCGGCGTTTTCCTCCCGAAGACGCGCCATTTCTGCAGACATCGTCTGCATGTTGGCCTGCATCATCCGGAACTCTTGCATGAACTCGTTGAATTCCGCCTGGTCCATGTGTCGCAGGCTTCGTCTAACGGGCAGGGGGTGGCTAGCGATTTTTCTGACTTCGGTGAAGGCATTAATGCTATCGTAGTCGGAGTGGAATAATCGGATCTATTCCACGGGCCGACCGCTTAACAACCCACCAAGTCTATCACTCCCCTTCTACAAACTACCCCAGAAACGCGAGGGTAACCTAGGAAATTAGGCTCTGATACCACGTGTTATGAGTTGTGAAAGGAAGAGTGCGCATAACTCAATAATACGGAAGTGATTACAACGTCTGAGAACACAGCGAGGCCTAGGACTAATATAGCGAAGCTAGCTAGGCCGAGGTCGCGGGGTCGCGAGATGGTTGGGTGCAGGTTCGGGGTTGGGAAACCCGAAAGCGACGCGGGTAGTGGCTCGGAAGGCGAGGTCGGCGGACCGAGCCTGGTTTTCCGAAAGTCGGGGTTGTACGCGTACAGTGTGACCCAGTAAGGAATCCGAAAAATTCCTTACAGCTGTTGTAGGCTGTTACATGTCCCGCAAAGTACTGTTGAGAAGTCGTGGGTGGGTGAACAACTGAGGTGAGGACTTCGCAACTGTACTGTTGTACCATGCTGTTGAGTTTGTCTCCGTTCGATGACTGTTGCTGTCGTGATTGGCGGGAACGAGCAAGACCCATGTTCGTGTCGATGATTCGAAACGGACGGAAAACGTCAGACCTCAGGGATTTCAAAAAAAGTTGCGCATGCGTAACGGCCTTTTCAGCCCTCGGGGGCTGCAGCAAAACTCGGTCAAAATTCAAGCAATTCGTTTTTGTAGTTGGGAAACACGGTCGAAGACAGTGAGTCGTCTCATTTGAGACATAACGGGCCGCTCTCATTGGCCAATCGTTTTTTATTCGGCCAGCCACTTGCATGACAGATAGGTGGTGCAAGTGCGAAAAAAACACGCCTCCTGGAACATCACCCAGAGCCAACCAACCACCGCACGACACATTCAGAGCTCCGGCAGCGCGTTTCGTTTGGTTTCGTTCCATCTCGTTTCAATTCGTTTCGTCCAGAAAAGTCCAAACGAGCGTAGTTACTGTTTTCCGCACTCTTCGACCCTTTTGTTTCACCACACCACCGTACCTTATGTGTGCAGCCAAAGAAAGAGTCCACCGCGCACTGGCCCAGCTTAGTAACTGCAGGTCGCTCGCCTCGCCAGCCAGACAAACAGAACAGACGGGCAATCAAAGCTGCAGCTTTCAGGCGAAGAAACGCCATGGCCAACCATACCTTGATGGGGAGAGCCCAATCGGAAACACTCGGCAGGAAGGAGAAGCAGCAGAGCAGAGAGGTCAGCAGCAGATCCGCTAGACTGCAGCGAGTTCCTTCCGAATCCCATCCCATCCCTATCCAACCAGCAGCACGACCGCGTGTTTTCGCGTCGTGATTACAAGCAAGGACCGTCACGCACGCGTGTTAATCTTCAGGAGGAACGCGTTACTGTTCTAGTAGACTGTGAGAGAGAAGCGTCTCTAAAAATTCCGGCAGCACTGGCCGTGTTTCTTTTCTCGTTCAGCTCTTTTTTCAATCACCACCACCACCAGGATCACCGTCCATGCCCTAATCTGGCTCTTACTGTTAGAGCGTCACTTTAGTGCTCACGACCTCCTGCTTCTCGAGTCGTAAGACCCGGTTTCCACAGCAGCTCTAGCGATGCGCTAGGCATAGCTCCCCGGTTAACGCTGCACGCTGCCGTGCTGGCCGCTCCGAGCAGACCCGTTCCAGCCTTCAGGTTGGGAGTTGGACTAAAAGGAATCCGCTTTCTAGATTCGGCGAATCGCGTACCAACGACGAGAGCAGAACTAGGCTACAGGCCCTGAGGGACGCTTTTTGACGCAAATCCTACGTCGTTATAGCGTTGGTAGGCTGCATATGAAGCGTGCATTTACTTTTGGCGCTCGTGGGGAGGCATCCTACTTACGAGTCGAGCGATAGTTAAACGACTCCTCGCAAGCAAAACCCGCACGACTGTTTTCAATTCACCTCGATACGTGCGTCCTCGTTAGGGTGAATATACAGAATTGGGTGGTACGCCTCTGGATTCGAAATTGTTGAGAGGAATTTCGAGACTGCAAAGGCGAGGCGAAGTTTTTGTGAGGAGCAAAAAGCAGCGCAATGTCGGAAATGGATGAGCTTACAGCGAAGACAGGCGGGTGGGGGGAAGCATCCAAATTGGCCGCTCGCATGGGTAGCGACGATTGGAGTAACCGGGTAACCAGCGGCTTCAAAGACATCACTCTCAGCGACGGCACCGGCGGCAGCGGAAGGAGCGGCGGGCGAAGCGGCGTTAGAAGCGGCGCGGGAAGCGCCGTCAGTAGCCGACACAGCAGCAGCACGTTTAGCGGCAGAAGCGGCAGTATAGCGTGGACCGACGATTTTAGCGATTACGGACTGAACGACCCTGCTAGTTACTATCCCGACACCCCTTCCTCCCTCGCCTCGGCCCCTTCGTTGCGCTTCGAGCCACCGCTTCGTGATGACGTTGCTGGCGGCGCCATCGCCAGGGGCGGTATCGGCGGTTCCTTCGGTTCTCAACGCGCCGGGTCGTTTCGCCGTGCCGGCCTCCCGCCGTCCGGCAGCTTCGATCGCCAAGTCAGCAGCCGCTGCGGCAGCCTCGATCGCCACGTCAGCAGCCGCTGCGGCAGCGTCGGCGGGGCGGATGAGGAGATGCGCGATTCGGCGGCTGCTGTCGCGTGTGACAATAGCGAGATGGACTATCGTCGCGGTGCTGAGGCTGCGACTAGATACGACTTCTCGGGCGACGAGGACGACGACGAGTACGACAGAAACGAGAGCAGCGACACAGTCGCACAGGAGGTGATCCGACGGTTCAACAGCACCGGACACGGAATCGACGGCAGGGACGGCGGCGGCGGCGGCGGCGGCAGCGGCGGCGGCGGCGGCAGCGGCGGCGGCGGTTTTGTTACAACAAGCAACAACAGCCGGAAAAAGAGAATGATAATAAGACACCAGCGACACGGATCCATGGCTTCTCATCCCAGGACGAAACCCGGAGGAGTTGAAACAGCACCTATGGGGATAATTAACGGTACGGGAAGCTATTATTACGGTATCGGGGCAGGGAGGGGTAATCGACCTGTTGCTACAGGCGGATCGGCTGGTAACGGGGATGACGCGCCGCATCGGCGCGCTCTGAGTGTGGATTTCCACCCGCCGCCTGTTTTCATGCACTCCCCGCGCACGCCGCCTTTCGGCGCGGACGGCGGAGATTGCCCCTCCCCGCTCTTTTCCCCGCATCTCTCCCCGCGCATGTCCCCCGCGCATTCCCCTACGCGCGCGCACCCCCATCCTTGGGCGGCCAGCCCGCGCGAAGCTTTCTCGTCCGCCCAGGAAGCTTCCGCGTGCTATCGCGCAGAGGAGGGAGCGTTGGACGAACCTTCCGGCTTGCAGGAGGATGAGTTGCCCGGCGCAGGCGCGGGCGCAGGGGGAGAACTAGCCATTCCGCCCCAGCAGCTGCCCCAACAGCTGCCCCAACCTCAGCAGCAGCAGCAGCTGCCCCAGTTGCCCCAACTCCAGCAGCAGCACCAGCAGCTGCCCCAGTTGCCCCAGCCCCAGCAGCAGCTGCTGCAGCAACAGCCGCCCCAATTCCAATCCCAGCCCCCCCAGCCCCCGCAGCAGCAGCAGCAGCAGCTCCAACCCCAACAGCAGCTGCTGCCCCAATTTCAATCCCAGCCCCAGCAGCAAGAGCACGCTCTGCAGCAGCCGCAATCCCAGCAGCCCCAGCAGCAGCTGCAGCAGCAGTCCCTGCAACCCCAGCAGCAGCCACTGCAGCACCGGCGGCGGCCGCACCTCCCACAGCAGCAGCACCTGAGGCTCGGTATCCCGTCCGGCAGCACCGGGCCTATGGGCCAGCATCGGCGCCACCGGTCCGACCACTCAGGTTCGGACGCAGCCCGGAGGTTCGGCAGCAGCGGCAGCATCGGGACCAGCTGCCTCGGAACCAGCAGCAGCAGTGGCAGCACTGTCGGTGGTGCTACTGCTGCTGGTGGTGCTGCTGGTGCTGCCGGTGCTGCTGGTGGTGCTGGTGGTGAGAGCACTGGTAACACCGTAACCGCACGTCGCACCCTTCGAAGCCACAGCTTCGGTAGTAACCACCACAGCAGCGCCAGCTTCGGCAGCAGCCTCGGGCTAAGCCATAGCAACAGCTGCGGCGGAACCCTCAACCTCAATCTCCCCCCTAGAAGCCCCTTCAGGTCCCCAGGGCAGTTTGCTACGGCTCTGAGTGTTCCTGCGGGTTTGGAGTGCGGTGCAGGGGAGTTCAGTCCGGTGACGAGGTCTCCCAAACCCCCGAGGTCCCCGTTTTCGAGTGACGCGGCTGCTGGGATGTCTGTGTGTTTGCCTGAAAGGCCTGCAATGGCTGAAAGGGTTGCAGCGGCGACTAATGGGAATGCTGTGGGTATTGGCAGTGGCGCCCTTCCTCCTCCTGCCCCTTATGCTGCTCCCCCTGCTCCTTCTGCTGCTCCTTCTGCTGCTCCTTCTGCTGCTCCTACTGCTCCTCCTGCCGTCTTGTGTGGCAGCGCCAGTGCTGACGCGGCTGGCCCATGCATTCCCCTTCACTCTTCTGCTCCTCCTCTTGCTCCCCTTGCTCCTCGTCCTACTTTTCCTGCTCCTCCTGCTCTTCCTCCTGCTCCTGCTGCTCTTCCTCCTGCTCCTGCCGCTGCATTCAATCTGCATGGGCAGCAGCTCAAGAGGAAAACGGATTCTGCAGAGGCAGACGACTGTGCGCTCTCACATCAAGCTTCGTTGGGCTTGCAGCAGGATCAAACCATGCAGCAGCACCAACCGCAGCCGCAGCACCAGCAGCAGCAGCAGCAGCGGCGGCGGCCGCAGCAGCAGCAGCAGCCACAGAACCATCAGCAGCCGCCCCAGCAGCAACAGCAAGCGGCGTTGAGCCTTCAGGAGGAACAGATTAAGCTGCTGCAGAGGCTGCAGCAGCAGCTGCAGCAGCACCGGTTGAACCTGCAGCAGCAGGGACAGCAAGGCCAGCAGGGATATCACCAACCACAGCAGCAGGTGCAGCAGGGGCACGGGCAGCAGCAAGGAGGGACGGGGCAGGTGGATTTGCAGCAGCTGAAGGAGGCGTTGATACGCAGGTTGAGTGCGATCCAAGCAACCGGCAGCAACAGCAACAGCGCCAGCACGAGCGACTCTCACCCCCATGGTGCCTCTCTAAACAACTCCAGCAATGGCAGTGGCAGCTCAGGCGGTGGCATTGGCGGCGGTGGCATGGGCGGCGGTGGCATGGGCAGCGGTGGCATGGGCGGCGGTGGCATGGGCGGCGGCGGCATGGGCGGCGGTGGCATGGGCGGCAGCATGGGCGGTGGGTTTCTCCGGCGATATGCGAGCGCAGGTGTTGGACTCACCACCAGCGGCTGCATCGGCAGCAGCGGTGGCAGCAGCAGCGGCGGCAGCAACGGCAGCGGCAGCAGCAGCATGCAGATGGTTCCTCCAGGAATGCAAGCTTCCCATCATGCCCCTCTCCACTCTGCTCCTCTTGCTGCCGGTTCCTCGCCTGCCCTCCCCTCCACCGCTCACCACGCCTCAGCCGCTGCTACTGCTACTGGTAGTCCTGTTACCCGTACCCCTGTCCATCCTGCATCCGCACCTGCACCTGCACCCCCATCCGTGCACCACCGGTGCGCATCCCTAGACGCCCACTCACAGCAGTTCTTCAAGACCCTTAGCACGTATATCAGCCGAGGTCTTACAGGGGAGATGGGGGAGGGCGCAGGGGGGGAGGGTGTGGGGGGGAGAGAGGGTGGGGTGGGTAGTGGGTGGCAAGGTGGGGCGGCGACAGGGGCGGCAGGGGCGGCGGAGGTGGATTCTGGGAATGTGAGCTTCAAGGATTTTATTCTGCGCATGCCGTACGACAACGTGAAGAGATTTTATTCTGTGAGCGCCGCCCGGATCGGGAGCGGGCGGTACGGCGTGATTCGGCCTTGCACGCACCGAGCGACGGGGGTGAAGATGGCAATAAAGACGATCAAGAAGGAACACATGAAGGTGAGGAAAGAGGAAGAGGCGAATAGGAGGACGTGCGCACAAGGGTGGTCATTCTGAGTCGATTTTTGAGTCGACCCAAAAATCGCCTCATCACACGAGGACATGCGCACAAGGGTGGTCATTCTGGGTCTCCTGCAGTGCAACACACACCCTCCCTCACAACACACCTCTTCTCTCCTTTCCCCTTTTCTGCAGTGCAAGGAGGATGTGGAGGATGTGCGAACAGAGGTGATCATTCTGGGTCTGCTGCGCGACCACCCGTGCATCATCAACCTGCATGACGCCTTTGAGGATGACAAGGTGCGTGGCATGTCATGGTATTTCCTCTCATTCTAGTGCGTCCTGTGAACATGTGATGTGACGTGAGCACGCCACACAGCATGGCCTCCTGCTGCGAGACCACCTGTGCATCATCAACCTGCATGACGCTTTCGAGGATGACAAGGTGCGTAGCATTTGAATTTGTGATCTTGTGAATGTGTGAATGTGCGAATGTGTGATCGTGTGAATGTGTGATCGTGTGAGCGTATGAGCATGAGAGCATGTGGCAGGGTGTCACCTGCTGCACCACTCAACCATGCATCATCAACCTGCATGATGCCTTGGAGGATGACAAGATGCGGAGGCATTGCCTCTCATTCTAGTGCGTCCTGTCGTGTGAACATGTGATATGAGCATGCCCCTTGTTCAGTTTAAGTTGATGGACATAAGACCTCCGCGTCCTGTCGTGTGAACATGTGATATGAGCATGCCCCTTGTTCAGTTTAAGTTGATGGACATAAGACCTCCGCGTCCTGTCGTGTGAACATGTGATATGAGCATGCCCCTTGCTGCGAGCGAGACCACCACCCGTGCATCATCAACCTGCCTGCATGTGATGCCTTGGAGGATGACAAGATGCGGAGGCATTGCCTCTCATTCTAGTGCGTCCTGTCGTGTGAACATGTGATATGAGCATGCCCCTTGTTCAGTTTAAGTTGATGGACATAAGACCTCCGCGTCCTGTCGTGTGAACATGTGATATGAGCATGCCCCTTGCTGCGAGCGAGACCACCACCCGTGCATCATCAACCTGCCTGCATGTGATGCCTTGGAGGATGACATGACAAGGTACGGGGCATACTGGCATACTGGCAACCTCCCAGAGAGGGCGGTTCCCAGAGAGGGCGGTTCCCAGAGAGGGCAGTTCCCTTTTCAGCCCCTCAAAAGCTCTTCTCTTTCCCTCCTCCCACCTCCCTTAACAGTATGTGCACCTAATCATGGAGCTCTGTGAAGGAGGCGACCTGTTCGACCGCATCAAGCAGTGCGGGCAGTTCCCCGAGAGGGGCGCCGCCCTGCTGTGCCGGCCGATTGCACCACTTTCAACCCCTCATAACCCCTTCTTTCTACGCCCATCCATCTTTCTCGCCCTCTCTCTACCAGTACGTGCATCTGATAATGGAACTGCGTGAAGGGGGAGACCTGTTTGACCGCATCAAGCAGCACAATGCTGCTGGGTGGTGCTCTTCTCACTCAACCAATCGCACCCCTCTCAACCCCTCATAACCCCTTCTCTCTCCTCCCCTACCCCTCCAATGCCCCTAACAGTACGTGCATTTGATCATGGAACTTTGTGAAGGAGGGGACCTATTCGACCGCATCAAGCAGCGGGGGCAGTTCCCCGAGAGGGATGCCGCCCTGCTGTGCCGCGGGCTGGCCGAGGCGCTGCTGCAGTGCGGGCGGCAAGGGGTGCTGCACCGCGATGTGAAGCCTGAGAACATTCTGCTACGGTCCAAGGAATGCCACACGCGGATCAAGTTGATCGACTTCGGTGTAGCGGCCCTACACACGCCAGGTAAGGGAGAGGCACACAGAAAGGTGAGAGGGGAAGTGGTAGATGCAGGCAGGCAGGCAGCAGGGGGGTGGTGTTGTGCTGCGCTGGGGTGGTGTGCTGTTCATTCTGCTCTGCTGCTCTAACCATCAACTCACCTTTCCTCCTGTGCTCTCTCTATTTCCCCTCCAGGTACCCTAAGGACCGACCGGGCCGGTACGGTGGAGTTTACCGCACCAGAGCTGCTGGACCGAGCCTACGGCTTTCAAGGCACATCGCTCCACTCACCGACTCTCCTTTCCTCCTTCCATCAACCCCTCCCTGTTGGCCTTCCAGGTACCCTCAGGACAGACCGAGCAGGGACAGTGGAGTACACCGCACCAGAGGTGCTGGACCGAGCCTACGGCCCCGAAGCTGACATCTGGAGCGCCGGAGTGGTACTGTACATTCTGCTCTGCGGTTTCCCGCCTTTTTGGGCGGCGACTGACGCTGACCTTGAGCGCAAGATCCGGACGGCGCATGTGGATTTCCGGCACCCGAGATGGGCGGCGATCTCGGACGGCGCCAAAGATTTGATTCTGCGGATGCTGGAGCAGGATCCGAGGAAGAGGATAACTGCGCTGGAGATTTTTGGTGAGCGGTGGATAACAGCGCTGTTGATTTATCAATCTGAGTTCCACGCGTGCGCTGTTATCCTCTCTCTTCCTCCAATCCTTCTCCAGCGCTGTTGATTTCTCAAGCTGAGCTTCCCCACGTGCTCCTTTCTTCACTCACAAGGTATCCTTAACATTTGTCCTCCATCCTCTGGCATCTTCCACCTGCCTTGCTTCCCCTTGACAGCCCATCCCTGGATCAGGGCAGCGGAAGCAGCTGAAAGTCACCACTGACACCCACCAGGTGTTTTTTGCTGCATACGACACAGCGGGCGGTGGCACTCCGCGTGCTGTGCACTCACCGAGACAAACGAATTCTACCCAATAGGCACATTATGTACATGCGAACTTATCAAATCCTACCTGACAAGATGCCTTGTCGTGTTGCACTCCACGTTTTTGTGGTCCTTTCTCGATGACCATTTCCTACTTTCTACAAAACCTTCTGATTGTGCACTATGAAACCGAGGCATAACACTAACGGGTTCGTCAACTGACCGTTGGACTTGTCTTTTTGCTTTCCCGCCCAACCCAACACACACTGCACTCGCTGGACGCCCGCGTACACCCACCAACTTCGAGGTTCTCAACATCGAGGAGATTTCGTTTTCTGGATTATCTGGTCTCATCAGATACCGTCTCCCCCCGGATATACCCCCATGGGGGGCAATAATAAAACAGGTTTTTTCATGGGGGTGGGCTTATAATCGAGTAAATTTATAAGCGCCGGCGTTTATAAAATGACATACATATTTTTTTATATCTTTTAACACCAAACTGTAGGTCTCGTGCTTGCCTTTTCAATCGAGTCGAAGTTACATGGGATCGTCTGTGAAATTCTCGCGCGCGCTGGGAGATACACCCAATCTGACTCACATCCAGCTCCTGACAGGTCCTGCTGACTGGACCCGCATCCAGTGCAGGGTCCGAATGTGAAGGGAACCGAATCTGCAACATATCCGCCTGCTAAAGTAAAAATCGTTACAGCTTTTTGAACACATTTCAAATTTTAAAGTTTACGTGCGCTTATAATAAAACAAGTTTTTTCAAGGGGTGCGCTTATAATCGAGGAGGGGATATAAGCGCCATATGCCAATTAGAAGCGCCAGGCGCTTATCCTAGGGTGGCGCTTATATCCGGGGGGAGACGGTAATTGTCTCTGTGTTACGGGTGCAATGAATCGAAGTAGCGAGAATTGCACTAAGGTGTCAAATGAGTATCAAGATGTGAGCGAAGGCATGAGCGAACATTTATACGTGAAACATGCAAACGGTAACGTGGTGCGTGCGAGCTAGCTAGTGCTATGCTGGCAGCGAGGCTTGGGCTAGTCCCGAAGCGTAGGCCGACACGGCCGGGCCAGCAGTGCGAGGTTTGGCAAAACATTGCGCGCGAAGTTGGCGAAGTCCCGTTAGTAGTAACGGGCGAACAACGGCTGTTGTTGTACGCGATGTAGTCGGGCTCCGTAAGGAATGCCGAGAAAATTCCTTACACTACCCCCCCCCCCCCCTCAAGAAGCCCCCTCCACTACACAAGTGCATGTATATCGCGGAATCCCCGTCTTCTCAGGTGTTGGAAATAAGAAGTCGCTAGAGCGCAGCGGAAGCTCTAGGAAGTAACGACGTCCCTACGGCGGGGCTATTGGTCACTCAGAGGTAGCTCTCCTGGCTTGTAACGTGGTGCCAAAGCAGCGGCCGAGGGTAGGCCGTGTCAAAATTAGAAGGAAGAAAGAAGGTTGAACTAGCAAGAATGAGGATACAAATAGCAAACCCTAGAAGGGTTGTACTCGCTATAGAGCACCCCACTACAGGCTAGAACAATAAGATAATATTCTGACACACCCCCATAGCCAAAGTGGGGTGTAATCAGCAGAGCAGGCAAAGCAAAACAAGCTCAGGGTGGATCACAATGTCACCACACATTCTGAGCACAAGTTCAAGAAGAAATAGTTTAGAGTTTACAATTATAAGCAAAGCTAGTGGTAGTCACAACGGGCAAGTGAGGAGGAGGAGGGAGAGTGAGGGGAGAGGAGACAGGAGGCGACGGCTGAAGCTGCAGACACACGGGCAACAGGAGGCAGACTGGCACAGCGGCTACCGGACAGCGCCCGGACTACAGGGGTAACAGGCCCCGCGGCTCAAATAGCGGCGGACGGGCAACGGACCCACGGGCGGCTGGCACAGCTGGCTACGACTGGGCTACCGGGACAGCGCCCCGGACTACAGGTGCTGCTGACGACAAACTGGCAACCTCCGCTCATCCTCCCGCACACAGTCCCACCCCCCTGATACACACCCACTGCTACACCACTAGCTCTACTCCCACGCACCCCCCTAAAACCCTAAACTCCAGTCTCCCACACAACCACCCCCCTCAGCGACAGCTGCAGCAGTGGGAGACGAAGGAGGAGGAGGAGAAAGGGAGGAAGGCACACCGGCCACCCCCATACCCGCCACCCCACAGCTCGCGCGGCCCCCTCAGGTCGCCACGACGGACGACGGGAAATGGTAGGGGGAGGCGGGGGGGGGGGGGGGGGGGGGGGAGAGTGGGGCCCACGACAGACCTGAGAGGAGAGCGGGGCCGCGACAAGGGGCGGGGCCGCTTCGAAGGGACGGGGCCGCGACGCAGGGCGGGGCCGCGACGTAGGGCGGAGCCGCGACTGTAGGGCGGGGCCGCGACTGTAGGGCGGGGCCGCGACGAGGGCGGGGCCGTGTCGGTTGGGGCGGGGCCGCGACGTAGGGCAGACGCCCGCGAAGGTGGGGCGGGGCCGCGACGGTCGGGGCAGGGCCGCTTCGAGGGGCGGGGCCGCGACGCAGGGCGGGGCCGCGACATAGGGCGGGGCCGCGTCGAGGGGCGGGGCCGCGACGAAGGGCGGGGCCGCGACGTAGGGGAGAAGCCCGACGTAGGGCGGGGCCGCGACGTAGAGCAGACGCCCGCCGCACGCCTCGGGGCGCACAACGGGCAAAGAACCGCCGCGCGCCCTAGGGCGCACGGCGGGCAGAAAACCGCCGCGCGCCTCGGGGCGCACGGCGGGAAGGAAAAAAAATCGCCGCGCGCCTCGGGGCGCACGGCGGGAAGGACAGGTAGCAGCGGAAGCAAGGTGGGGACACACCCACAGGATCGATCCAAGGGGATCGACCTGCTCTGATAACATGTCAAAATTAGAAGGAAGAAAGAAGGTTGAACTAGCAAGAATGAGGATACAAATAGCAAACCCTAGAAGGGTTGTACTCGCTATAGAGCACCCCACTACAGGCTAGAACAATAAGATAATATTCTGACAGGCCGGACACAAGCTTGAGAATTGTGTAATATGAGCAAGGCATTACATTCTGTTTTATAGCAAACGCATAGGGCAAACAGTTACCAAGGCGCAACTGTATAACAGTTGCGCTGCGTCGCTTGGGTTGCCTTGTTACAGTCGCGCTGGCGAGACTTTTCAGCTTCGGCAAGGGCGCGGTATCCTGCCGCGCCCCACAGGTCGTTTCGCGTACTGTAGACGATGACTCCTGCTGTCGATTCGACTCTTGAGCTGCCACGCGGGTCGCAACCGCTGTGCTCGGTTGCGCCCTGTTGACTCGCCACCAGGTTCAAATCCCTCGCTATGGCGAGCCCCTGTAAACACACTTCGAACAGTGCACTTACAATAAAAACATACAAACATATTCTCAACATCAGGTGGTTTTCAACGTTGGCCAGGGGCACCCAGCTATCTTCAGTTGGCGTGCGGTCCTTCCAGCGAACGAGGAATTCAATCCTCTTGATTCCCGTGGGGTGTCGAATCCGATGGGTCAGGATTTTTTCGGGCTCGATGATCGGCTCTGATGCAGGGCGAGTCATGGGTGGCGGGCGGTGGCAAGGTAGTTGGCTTGTGGTTGGGATGTATGGGCGAAGCAAGCTGACGTGGAACGAAGGGCTGATGTACCAGTCGGTCGGTAACAGTAGGTGCGCGGTTACTGGCGTGATCATGTGGCTGATTTGGAATGGGCCACAGTAGCGCGGTCGAAGTTTTGGTACGTCGGGCACTCGCAGATTTTGCGTGTCAAGCAGTACGTACAGTCAGCCCCCGGATAGAAGCGCCCCTGTGCTTATAATAAAACACTGTTTTTTAGGGGGTGCGCTTATAATTTGTTGGGCTGAACGCCCTAGGATCTTTAGTAGAGTTAAAGTCTGAGTGAATGATGTAGTAGCGGAAGTGTTTTAAATGAAGTCCTTGAACCACCTTGCGCTAGTATGTGAGGGCAAAGTAAGTTGATTAAAGTAAAGAGATACAGGAATATATATGAGCACAGAGAATATGAAGAGACATAATTGTAACTACTTTTACTGTTGCGCTTCGATACAGTGCAACTCGGGCAACTGCTCAATGTCGAGTCAGTTGTGTGTCCTTGCTGTCGCGCTGCTTTTGTCAGGTCAAAGGTCGCTGGCCTTTGACTTTCTCGTAACCGCCAGCGGTTACATCAACCTCCGAGGGTTGACTCGCTGGTGCTTCGATTTGCGTTGCTTTGCTTGTGTCTTGAAGTTTCGACACGAAAGAGGCGCTTAAGACTATTTGTTCCCAACACCCCCCTTCGCTTCTGGAGTGTCGCTGATGGTGACGTGGCTTTGTCCAGTCAGCAGCATGCAGTACTCGAACTTCTGTTTTCCGAGCTTCTTGGTCAAGTAGTTAGCTGCCATCTCGGACGTGGGACTATAGGATAGTTCGAGTTTCCCTTTCTCGATCTCGTCTTTCACGAAGAAATATCGCAGAGCGATATGCTTCGTTTTGTTCGCGAATCCGCTCTTGTTGGCAATGCGAATCGCAGATTGGTTGTCGCAGAACAGAGTGAATTTGGGTAACTCGGCTAACTTCGCTTCTTCCAGCAGCTCGCGAAGATAGAGTCCTTCCTTGGTGGCTGAGCAGAGTGCGATATATTCTGCTTCAGCTGAAGAGAGAGCGATTAGTTCCTGCTTGCTCGATTGCCAGGAGATAGGACCGATAGGTTCGAGGCGGTAGATGTAGCCAGTGCGGGAGCGTCTGTTGTCTGAATCGCCGGCGTGATCGGCGTCGACGTAGCCGATTAGTTTCGTCGGTGTAGTCG